TTTATATCCTCTTTGGAGTCACTGATCATTTGTAAAGTAAATATTTTAAATTTTTTGTCCACCATTTCATCCATTCCAATATCTTTGGATTCAGTTACAGAAGAGTAATGGACCTTTGGAGGACTCCTGTTTCCTTGCTTTTTCATATATTTCTTGTGTTTCTACATTGAGATTTGAATAGTTGGTGTGGGTATCTCTTCTACTTTCAAGAGAAGGTATTATCACTCAGATAGCAGAAAGCAAACTGCAATAACAGCAGCCCTAAAAAAACAAATCAGATACATAAAACAGTAAAAGCAACAACTACATCACCAATAGCAATAGAAAATAAACTAAAAGGTTAAAAATTAATAACTATAAGAAATAATTTAGTAATAATTAAAATGGAAGAGGCAGGGATAGGGAAAAATTGAAGAAGCAAGATTTTTAAAAGAAAAAAGAGATGACAAAAGGAAAAATGAACAAGCATAAAAAATCCAATTAAGGAATTATTCTTTAACAGTAAAGCCAGGGATTTAGCTCAGTGGTTCTGCTGCCTGTCTCACAAGTGCACGGTCCCGAGTTTGATCCCTGGTACCAAAATATATAAAAATTAAAAAAAAATAAAAGTAAATATAACTAGATAAAATAAGTGTGATAATTAATTGTGTCAACTTTAGTAAGAAACACACAACTAAATTGACTCAGCATAATTCTGGGTGTGGAAGACCCATACTAAGGAGGATTACCACCAGAATAGTATAAAAGGGAAACAAAAAGAATTACTTCTTTTTCCTCAGAGGAGTTCCAGTCTTTACCATGGACGTCGTCCAAGTAAGGACTGACTGATACATAAGAGAAAAAGAAAAAAAATAGTTCAAGAATTTCTCCATGCTGAGGTGTTTGTACTGGAGAAGTTTCTTCCAAAATCCCTAATATTAATATCCACTAGGTATGGTGGAGGTAATAGTGAGTCACACTTGAAGCCTGTTATATTTCTTCTCTGCTCCTACCAAACAGATTGGTGCTGTATGAATGCTAATCTCTGCCCTACATTTCCCACTGGACCTGGGCAATTAAGGCTATGTTGTCTGTCTCAGGGCTGTATTCATTCCACAAGATTTTTATTATTGTTTCCTTGTGTGCACCTAGAACCACTGCTAGCCCCAATTAGCTTCATGGCATGGGAGAAGGTCAATTCCCACCTTGCTCCAAGAGGCCCTCTATTTGTATATCTATCATATAGCAAATGTCCAAGCAGAAATATATCCTCAAATTCCTTGGGCAGCAGGAGTAGCAAACAGACTGCTGAGTTCTGCACTGGAAGGAGGCAGTCACAAAGATCAAGCAAGCCACTGGTCTTAGTCCTGATGCTTTCAGACCCAGCTACCTGAGAAAATCACAAACCGTGGTGCTGCCAACAACTGTGCTCTCCACAGCATGAGATCCCCACTGTTTAAATTTCTCAGTGAATCTGTTATTGACTCCCTCTCCATAACTGTCTCTTGTGGCTATCTCCCACCCAGTCACTGCAGCAGGTGTCCCCAGGGACCCTGAGGTGGGATTGTTCTGTGATTTCTGATCCCCAGAGTAGCTCAATTCCAAACGATAGTGGATAGTACAAGATGGCTCCTTGTTATAGCACTCCAAGGTTTGGTGAGCATTATGGTAGATTTATTCTCCAAAGCTGTCCTGCCTTGCAAGAGAAGTCACATTCAGATCAAATCCCCACATTAGAATTACAGCTTGCAATAACCATGGGTTTCTTCTGTAGCTAGGACTGTTGGTCTGTTATCACTGGGGCTGGCAGTACTCTCCAGGCTTACCTTGTGCTTGCAGAGTCAGCTTCACCTCCCCACAAAGAGCCAAGGTTAGCATTGCAGACTACGTTTCTCTGAGTTCCCTTTCTGCTATGCTTTTTAACTTTACTTTCTCTCAGAATACAGTTTCTCCTTTGTTGCCCTAACTCATCTTACTCACAGAGTCATGAGAAGATTACTTTTATTCTACTTCTATTCTTTCCCAGAAGCTCTGATTAATATCATCATATGTATTTTAAGATAAAATTTACCTATATTAAAATGTACTAATCTTAACTGTATCATTTTGATAAATAAATATAACATGCACTTTGTACCCCATCGAGCTATTGAACATTTCTGTACTCCCAGAAGTCTTCCTCATACCACTTCCCAATCTCCTATTGACAGAGGCAACTGCTAATTTTTCATGGCAGATTAGTTTGCCCTTTCTAGAATTTCACATAAATTGGTATCATAAACTATGTATGCTTTGGGGTCCAACTTCCTTAACTCACCATAATATCTAGGAAATGCATCCATATTGTTGTTAAATAGTTCATTCTCTTCTATAACTGAATGGTATTTTATTGTATGAATATACCACAATTCATGTATACATTTTTCTATTGATGGGCATTTGATATGTTTCTGGGTTTTGGCTATTACGGATGAAGCTTCTTTAAATAGCCTTCTAAAACTTTTAGTGGACATATATTTTTGTTTCTTTTGAGTAAATACCTAGGAATGGAATCACTGAGTCACAGATAAGTAAGTATATTCTCCTTAAAATGCCTACCTTTATAAGAAATTGTCCTGGAAGGAAGACCACAAGTTTGAGCTAAGCCTGAGCAACTTAGTGAGACCCTGTGTCTCAGTTATTTTTCTTATTGCTGAGATAAAATACCTGATACACAAAGTTAAAGGAGGAAAGGCTTATTTAGCTCCCAGTTTGGAGAGGTTTCAGTCCATAATTGGCTGGCTCCAAGGCAGGGTGGCATGGCAGACAGGCATCACATAGAAGAAACAGTTCATGGTGGGCAGAAGGTAGCAAAGCAACAAGGGAGGACCACAGCCCTTTCTATCCCTTATGTCTTAAACAAGATACTTAGGGCAGGTAGCACTCACACCCTTAATTCTAGTTTCCTTGATCCTGGCATTGCACCATGAATCAATTCCAACATCACACACTCTAGATTCAGCTACCTCTGGGAAAAAGCCCCACCTATAACTGCATGAGGCTTTGGGGAGACATCTAAACATGAACACAACACCCTGTCTCAAAATAAAAACTAAAGAAAGGCTGGGGATCTAGCCCAATGTAAAGGCCCTCGGTTCAATCTTCAGTACCAAAAAAAACCACAAAAAAACTCCACCAAAATTTGTTCCAAAGCTGTTGAATCATTTTATATTCCCATCAGAAATGTATGAGAATTCTGGTGGTTTCACATCCTTTCCAATATTTGATATTTTTATTCTTCTTAATTTTAGTCATTCTGTACATGTGCTAGTATCCCATTGTGCTTTTAATTTGCTTTTTCTTGAAGTCTAATGCTGTTGATCACATATGTATGAGCTTCTTTGGCTTTTTTGAATTGTCTCTTAGGTTTTCTGTTCATTTCTTCTTGTTGTTTTTTTGTGTGTGTGTGCTCACTTATTATTTAGTTTTAGGAAATTTTATATATCCTGAGTAGAAGTCTTATGTCAACTACATGTTCTGTATAGCTATTTCTTTTTTCATTTAAATTAAATTTGTTGCAGTGGATACATAAAAACAAAAATTGTACAAATTAATGGAGTAATGTGATGTTTTGGTACATGTACACATTATATAATCTTTACATTAGAGTAAACATCTGTTTCCTCAATTTATCTTTTGTACTGAAAACTTTCAAAATATTTTTTCTACTTTTTGAAATGTACAGTATATTATTTTTGTCTATAGGCACTCTACTATGCAATACTACACCAGAACTTCTTGCTCCTATCTATACCTTGGTTCTCCTTGATCAACCTTTCCCCATTCCTCCCACCCCCTCTTACTCTTCCCTCTTGTAACTACCATTGTTTTCTCATTGTCCATTACAACAAAGTTTTAGATACAGCATGAGTAAGATCATGTGGTAATTGTCTTTCTGTACCTAACATATCTCACTTGAGAAATTGATCTCCAGTTTCATTCATGTTGTCAAAAATGAAAGGAAGTACTTCCATTGTATGGCTAAATAACATTCCATTGCATTTATGTACATTTTCTTTTATCTTTTATCTTTTATATTTTCTTTTATCTATCTGTTGATGAATGCTTAGGTTGTTTCCATTTCTTAGCTCTTGCTAATATTGTCACAATAATAGCCAATGCTGTGCTGTTTTGATTACTACAGCTTTGTGGTATATTTTGAAGTCAGGTAGTGTAATGCCTCTTATTCTTTTTCCTATGGATGGTGTATTGACCAGCTTTTTATTGCTAGAACAAAATGCCTAACATAATTAAGGGAGGAAATTGTTTGTTTTTGGCTCGTGATTGCAGGTTTCAGTCCATGGTTCGCTAGACTGCAGAAATGTCACAGCAAGGGAAAGTGGCTCAACTCATGGCCTCCAGGAAGTAGAGAGGAAGGGAAGAGCCAGAAGGAAGGTCCCAGGGACTATGTAGTCCCAAAGGTCACGCTCCCTGATCCACTTCCTCTAACTGGGCCCCACCTCCTAACAACCAATTCACCTAGTGCCCACACAATCAAATCACCTCTTCAAGAGTCTCTTAATCCAGCCAGGTTGAGAATTAAGATAGATTTGTCTATTTGGGCATTTTTGTGGCTCCATTTAAATTTTAGGATATAAGCTGAAGATATATGTGAGAGATAGAGCAGTTGCCTAGCTTGTTGAAGGCTCTGGATTCAATCTCCAACACCACAGGAAAAAATTTAGTACTGTGCTATTTTATCTAGTTATGTAAAAAATGCCATTTATGTTTTGATAGGGATTGCGTTGAATCTATAGATTGCTTTGAATAGCCTGGACATTTTAACACAATTGATTCTACTAATCCATTAACATGACATGTGTTTCCATTTTCTTTTTTTGATGTGTGTCCTCTTCAATTTCTTTCATTAATATTTGATGTTTCACTATAGACATTTTTCAACTCTTTGGTTTAAATTTATTCTTAGGTATGTGTTTTTGTAGCTATTATAAATGGGATTGTTTTATTGATTTTCATTTCAGATAATTTGTTATGGCAAATAGCAACAGTACCAATCTTTGTGTGTACCATGACCAGCACAGCACTGGGGTAAGAACGATGACCTTGTTGTTATGGGCTGCCTATTGCTGAGGTGGTCTTATGGCCCAAGATCATTACAATCAGCCACAGGTGATGCTGGCTGCAACAGAAGTCCAATAGATTGGGGTAGTCTCTTCTCCTGCTACTTGGACTGCTCCAAAGTCTCTGTCCAGAGGCAGGTCCAGGGATGTAGGCCATTATGATCTGTCCAATATTAGATTTTGCCATCCTGGCACTAAGTTTAAAGCCAAAGTCTTCTGTTTGCTATACTGTCCTACCTCAGTGAATGGGGTCTGACTCCAGGCTATGTTGCCTCAGGTTGCAGTAGTGTTGGTAAAGCAGTCCCTTGGCCATATGTGAGGTTCTGCCTTCAGTCTCTGGCCCATATGTGAGGCTTTTGCTTTGTACTTGCTATTGAATTTTGCCGTGGAAGAACTGGCACTGAGTTCCAAGACAAAGACGTGTGATAACTTGCTCCAAGAAGGTAGAGTCTGGCTCCCTACTCTGCATTCCAAAGTTAGAAAAGGGGTGGTGTAGGCATTCAGCCAACTGACCTAATGTAGTGTCTTGGTCTTGGGGGGTTGGCCTGGTGATAGTGATCATGTGGCTCTGCCTGGCACTGAGTTTTACCATGGTGGGCCTGGTGCTGAGTTTCAAATCTAAGACCTGGCTCAATTTCCTCTTTGCCCTTCAAGCAGAATGCATCATTCTCCATGCTCCAGCATGGTGTTGGGGAAGGGACAATGCAAGCAACTCCTGCTTTCATGAATGTATATTTCTTTTTCTTATATTAAAAGTAGGCATTATGATCTCTCACCCAGTTTCCTTAGCTCTTGTGAAAATAGTTTAATGCATACATAGCTGTTCTACTTGGTGTTTATGTTGGTAAACTATCACAAGAGGATCTTAATCATCATTGGTCTGCCTCTCCATAACCACATGTTAATGGCTCAATGAATGTTTTCACTTTGTTATTTAAATTATTGCAGTTTTTTATTTATAAAATTTTAAAAATTATTTTTCAAAATGAGTGAGATGCTTTTTATTGCCTCTGACTTTTTATTAATATTTGATTATTTTATTTCTTTAAACATTATAAATAATATTATTTCAAATTGTATTCTGTTAATTCCAATCTGAAGTCTTCGGGGAACTGAATCTGTTGCCTGTGTTTTCTGCTTTCATTAATGCTACATTATGTCCTTACATGTATTATAATTCTCACTATGAATTAATATTTGTGTTGATTCTTTTGAGTCATAAGATGAAAGTTGATTTCTCCAAAGATATTTGCGTTGGTTACTGCAAACCAAAATTCTTGGTTTCAGATATTTTAATACATTAAATAGTATAAACTTGGGAGTAGTTACTGATTTACACTTGAGAAGTCTCAGAAGAGCATTTTATTCTTTTTTACTTTAGATAATTTCCTCTTCAGTGAGTGGGGAGAGAGAAAGGTTTGCTTGTAATCACTGTTCCTTTAAGGTATATTTAATGGGATTTCAACTTTACAATGGGTCTTCTTTTTACTTCCACTAAAATGAGCCCTTTATTCACTGATACATCTATCTAATATTATTAGTTTTTAGGAGAAAAGTTGGTCAAGACATCTAATGTACTAGCACACTGTAGCGCTAAAAACAGTGACTCATAAGTACATCATTAAATCAAGAATTCACTTGACTTCTCATTTGTAAGCCCCCAGACAATTAAATTTACTGATTTAGCAAAATATGTATTAAGAATCTCTTACATGTTGAAAAATTTAAAATATCTAAGTAAATAAAAAGATATCCCATGCTTATGATTGGAAATGTTAATATTGTTCAGATGGCAATATTCTACAAATTAACCTACAGACTCAGTGGAATTCTTAAAATTCCACTTGCCTCAATGCAATATGGAAAAGCCCATCCTAAAATTCATATGAATTTACAAAAGACACAATAGCCAAAACAAATTTGAAAAGAACAAATTTGGATGGCTCATACATTCTAATTTTGAAAACTTAATCCAAGGTTACAATAATCAAGTAAGTGATGTACTAGCATAAAAATAAGATGTATAAGACCAACAGAAATACACCATATTAACAGAGCCAAGGAAATAAAATATAGGATCATCTCAATAGATGCAGAAAAATCATTTTAAAAAGTCCAACACCCATTCATGATAAAAAAAACTTATAGGAAATTGGAATACATGGTCTTTACCTGAAACTGATAAAAGCAATCTATGACAAGCCAACAACCAACATTATACTAAATGAACAAACACTGAAAGTTTTCATACTAAAATCAGGAACCAGACAAGTATGTCCACTGTAACCACTCTTATTCCATATAGTTCTGGAAACATTAGCCAGAAAAATCAGACAAGAGACAGGAATGAAAAGAATAAGGATAGGAAAAGATGAAGTTAAATTATCATTATTTGCAGAGGACATAATACTCTACATAGAAGACCCCAGAAATTCCACCAAAAGACTTCTAGATTTAAGAACCAAATTCAGTAGTGTAGCTGGATATAAAATCAACACTCGAAAATCAATAGCATTCCTGTACATAAATAACAAACATACTGAGAGAGAAATTAGGGAAACAACACCTTTCACAATAGCATTGAAAAAGATGAAATACCTAGGAATCAATCTAATGAAGGAAGCAAAAGACCTTTACATCAAAAACTACAGTATTCTGAAAAAGGAGATGGAAGAGGATATCAGAAAATGGAAAGATATTCCTGTTCTTAGGTAGGAAGAATGAATATAGTGAAAATGGCCATACTTCCAAAATTGCTATACAGATTTAATGCAATCTTGATCAAAATATCAATAACGTATCTCACAGTATTAGAGAAAACAATCCTAAAATTCATTTGAAAACAGGAGAGACCTAGAATAGCAAAAGCAATTTTGGGCAACAAAAGCAAGGCAGGGGCATCACAATCCCAGACTTTATACTACAAAGCTACTGTGATAAAAACAGCATGTACTGGCAAAAAAACAAAAACAATAACAACAAAAAAAAAAGCCTGAGGATCAACAGAACAAATTAGGGGCCGGGGATTTAGCTCAGTGGTTTCGCCGCCTGCTGCGCAAGCGCATGGACCCAAGTTCGATCCCCGGTACCAAAAATAAATGAAATTAAATTAAATTTAAAAATAGAACAAATTAAAAGATGTAGGACAACTCCAAACACACTCATCCACTTTATCTTTGACAAAGGAGCCAAACACCTTCATTGGAAGAAAGCCTCTTTAATAAATCAGGTTGGAAAAATTGGATTTAAATATGCTGAAGATTAAAACTGGACCCATATCGTTCACCATGTACTTTACTAAAATTAAAACGGATCATAGATATAAATATTAAAACAGAAACACTAAATTTGCTGAAAGATAAAATAGGTAGAACTCTTGGAGACATAAGTGTAGGCAAACAATTTATGAACAAACCCTGGTCATATAGGATATATCACAAAGAATCAACAACTAGGATTTCATCTTATTAAAAAGCTTTTACACACCAACAGAGTGAAGAGACAAACCAATGTGGGGAAAAAAATTTTGCCAACTGTTCCGCAGACAAAAGGCAATATATAAAGAACTAAAAACACCAGACCACCCAAATTTAAAGACCCTATACAAAAATGGGCATCTGAAATTAATGGACACTTCTCAGATGAAGAAGTAGAAATAGCAAATAAATATATGAAAAAATGTTCAACATCACTGGCCATTCGAGAGATGCAAATTAAAACAATGGTGAGATTTCATCTCACTCCAGATTGAACAGCTGTTATCAAGAAATCAACCAATAACAAATGCTAGCTGGGCTGTGGGGAAAAAGGAACCCTTCTCCACTGTTGGTGAGAGTGTAGACTGGTGCAAACACTGAGGAAATCAGGGTGGAGATTCCTCAAAAAACTAGGGTTAGCAGTTCCATTTGATCCAGCTATTCCCTTTCTTGGTATCTTCCCAAAAGTAACAAAAGCATCATACCACAGCAATATATGCACACCCATGTTTATAGAAGCAGTTTGTAATGGCTAAATCCTTGAAACCACCCAAATTCCCCAAAACAGATGAATGGATAAAGAAGATATGGGGATTTTTATACAATGGAGAACTACTCTGCCATAAAGAAGGATGAGCTTTAGATATTTATAGCTAAATGGATGCACTTTGAGACCATACTCTTAAGTGAGATAAATTGGACACACATGTTTAAATACCACATTGTTTCTCTGGTGTGAGAAACCAAAAGTGTAAATAAGGACCAAAATGTATAATAGATTTTGGGAAATGGGACAAAAATGGTCAGATGAGAAGGGGAACAAGGGAGGGGGCAGGGTGTAAAGAAGGAAGGAACAAGAAAAAAAGAATAGAAGGAAAAAAATAGAAACAAAGCTTTGGAAATAAGGAGGGGAAGAGGGATTGAAGGGAAGAGAGGGAAATGGGAAAAAAAGAAGCAAGATATATCATGTACAGGTATAAATTCCCTATGATAAATGTTATCATTATGTATATCTAAACGTACCAATAAAATAAAGCCACCCCCCCAAAAAAAGGTGCAAATAATCGTTTTTAAAAAAAAAAAAAAACCAATAGAATACAGTTGAAAAATCATTTGTGGTTAATTAATTTTGAACAAGACTGCCAAGGCCATTCTGTGGGGGAAAAATAATATTTTCAACAAATGGTGGTAGAAAACAAGTTATCCATATGCAAAAGTATGAATTTGAAGCTCTACCATGCAAAAATTAACTAAAATGTATCAAAGGTCTAGACATAGCTAAAACTATAAAACCTCTTAGAAGATAACATGGATAAAAATTTGTTTGACCTTGTATTAGGTAATTTTTTAGATATGACATCAAAAGCACAAGAAATGAAAGAAAGATAAACAACCAGGTATAGTGGTATGTGTGTGCCAATTCCAGATGTTGGGAGGCTGAGGCAGGAAGATTGCTTTACCCCAGGAATTTGAAGCCTGCTGGGGCAACATA